GAGGGACTTCAGGCGACTTTCTTCTGCGTCTTCCGCTTACTTTCGATCGCTGCCGGGAGTCGCTCTCGTGGACCAGTGTAACGCAGAAAAGCGTCCGAGAACCATGTGGGGAGGATCGACAGCGGAATGTACATCAAGAAGAGCATCCCAACCACAGTAGTACCTGAACAGACACTGTTTGATTGAGCACCGAGTCAATATTGAGCGAACGTTCCAAGAAAAGATGAATAGATGAAGGAAATTCAAGCAAGTAATTTCAAGGAGCCATGGAATCACTTCCGGATCTTCGTCATCTGACAATAAGTGGCATTTCACTAGCTCTTTTAGATATCATCATATCGCAATCAGAGCACTGCTACGTTGGGGATACCAGGGAGGGGATGAGGTCGTACTAGGCTGCTGAAGGAAAGGAGGGGGGGGGGTCGTGCCAAGCTTCAAGGAGGGGTAGTATTCCGCAAAATTTTTCCCCAACGGCAGAACGCGCTCTGATCACCATGTACTGTGTGACGGTGCGTTCCCACCAAGCCGAGGAAATCCGAAAGCCGATCGAGACAACTTGTAGGTTGAGTTTTGGCAGTGAAAGTGCTTCTCTTAACCGTCTCGAATTGGAAAACTCACCGATGTCTTGGGTACAAAGCCGTGAGAGCATGCATATAACTATCCACCACGTAATACGTTCTTGTCGAACTCTGCGTGAGAAACAAATAGTTCCAATAGTCTATTACTAAAATAGAAAAATTACATAGGAACATCACTATTCAAAGCCTGGACAAATATTTTGGGATATTTCGACTTTGTAGTGGCCAGTTTGCTGGTTGTCATCGATCACTGCCGATGCTTTTACTGATACCTGCAAGATTCTGCAAAGTTATGCAATAGCATTAGCTCTTCGCCTACCCTTAGCACGAGACTACACCACTCTCCTTGGTCAGAAATGTAATTTGGCAGGAGCTAGAAGTAAAGTGGTCGCTGTGGAAAACCCGCCCTAACGAGCAGCGGACTTTTTCGATCAATTCACAGTCACGCCTTTCCCACCTCCGGACTATGATGCGTATGTACACTCGAAATCCCTGAAATGCGGTAGGCGTGGCTGCGTACTTGGGTTGAACATGGAGGCAGCTGAGCTTCCGGTGAGGTACTTCCATACTGGGACAGTTGTATCTGTCTCTGCCCAGAATAAAATGGCAGTCGTACCAAATCGAAACATCCTCACGAGTGGCCAATTCCTACGCCATGTTCGAATGCCACGCCTACTCCGTCCCAGGGATAAGGAGTGTATAGAGGTGAGAAGTCGCTACGGCCGTACACCCCGTCACCGTAAAGCCACTTTTTACCCTGCCCTGCGCCATGGACTGTAGAATTTCCAAATACGCTTGAAATTCATGTTTTTATATTCTTGAGCATCAGCAGAGCGTGGATTTTTATGTGGACTCAAAAGCTCCGCTGGAAAATCCAAGGCCATTAATCCTGAGTGCTCATCCCTCGAGGCAAAGGAGGAGAATTCCCATGTGAGACTCGGTAACGTCCCGTTCTGTGCCGCTAGGTTAATGTTGCCCCGGAACACATACACTCCTTATCCTTGAGACGAAGTAGGCGTGGCATTCGAACATGGCACAGAATGGGTTACTCGTGGGATATTTCAGTTTGAGACAACTGTCATCTTGTTCTGCGTTGGACAGAGACACGACCACAATTGGGTCAAAATGAAAATATCTCTCCAAAAGCATAGCCAACGCGTTTAGTTGGAAGTACGCAGCCACGCCTACCGCATCTCAGGGATTTCAAGTATAAGCTAGCTGTTATAATAATACTTACAATAACTCTTGTACTGTTCCCCATATTCGTTCTTCGTTTCATCATCCAACCTTGACCATGCCTGAAAAATGAGCTTTCAGCAAGGACTTCATTCTCAGTGTGATTTTGAAAGCCTTCAAGGGTTTGGAGCTTGACTCGCTTATCATGCACCTTCTTAGATGATCTGTAAAAACTAATAGTTTGCAAACGGCAAGCATCAGATTCCGCCGACGATGCCTCCCATTAACCCAC